GGGGGGGGTAGGTGGGTACCGCGAAACTAACGGCGTTTGTCTCCACCGGCAGGCGCTGTACGCGGAGAGCTGCTGGATCCTGGAGCGGATCGCACCCCTCTGGCCGCAGCTGCAACTCGACGGTCGGCTCAACATGTGGATCATGAAACCCGGCGCCAAGTCGCGCGGGCGCGGCATCCACCTCGTCAACCGCCTCGACCTGCTCACCTCGCAGGTGTCGTCCACCCACCTGCGGGACGCGCGCTACGTGGCGCAGAAGTACATCGGTGAGTATGTTTTGCAGTACCAGGTTGCGTATTCGCCCCTCCCATGCCACGCCCCCCTTCCCTCCTGCCTTCCACTAACTGCCCTACAATCACATGCAGAGCGACCGTTGCTCATATGCAACACCAAGTTTGACATCCGGCAGTGGTTCCTGGTGACCAGCGTCTACCCGATGACTATCTGGATGTACAGGTGACTCCCGGTCGCGCGTGCGCTCTATGGCGTTGCCCGAGGCGTTGCCTCAACGAGTTGCAACCTTACCTTCCTAACTGCTCATGTTTTGTCACAGAGAGAGCTACCTCCGCTTCTGCTCGCAGTCCTTCAGCCTCCACAACATGCACGAGTCTGTGCACCTTTGCAACAACGCGGTGCAGGCCAAGTACACCAACGGCAAAAGGGACCCCGCCCTGCCCGATGAGAACATGTGGGACTGTTACACCTTCCAGACGTACCTTCGGTAGGCGACCCCGCGCCCGTCGCGCCCGCCCTGGTGTTTACCGAGCCCGTAACAGTAGGCGTGTCTCTGTCCGTCAGGTCGAAGGGCCGCGCCGACCTCTGGGACTCGCTCATCTACCCGGGCATGCGGCAGGGCATCGTCGGCACCCTGCTCGCCTCGCAGGAGCATCTGGACCGGCGCGGCGACTGCTTCGAGTTGTTCGGCGCCGACTTCATGCTCACCGAGGACTTCGTGCCGTGGCTCATCGAGATCAACTCGTGCCCGTGCATGGCGCCGTCTACCAGCGTCACGGCGCGCATGTGCGCACAGTGCCTCGAGGACGTCATCAAGGGTGAGTGGTTCGCCAGTCAGAGCCGAGGCGGGAGGAGCAGGTCGGCGAGGCTGACGGGGAGCTCGTTGTTGGCAGTGGTCATCGACAGGCGCGCGGATCGCAACGCGGACACCGGTATGTTCGAGCTCGTGTACCGCCAGCAGATCCCGCCGCCGCCACCCTACCTCGGCATGTCGCTGTCGGTGCGCGGCCGCAAGATCCCGTCGGCGGGGGGCTCCTCAGGGCCACGGCGTCGCAAGACGGCGTCCCAGTCCGACGTGGAGGCTGACCCGTCTGGCGCGTCCGCGTCCAGCGCCGGCGGTCAGCCCGCGCGCTGCCGACGTTCCGAGCTGCTCGAGTCCAGGCTCACGAGCCCCGCGGCCCGTTCCCCCGCCCCCGCC